ACTCTATGATATTTTATCAGGTTTTAAAAATCTGATATTCAAGCTATAATATTGAATTATAGTGCTAGTGGGCTTATTAATAATTTAAATGACTTAAAGTTTGTTCACAATCAGCAGCTTGTTAAATGTCACACCTTCAGAGTTTATCTCAATTTAATTCATGTGAATAAATAAAATATATGGTCATACTGTATCAAGAAATCTTTTATAAAGATTTGCCTTTTTTTGGTACAGTGCACTCAAGTCTATTTTTTGAAATTAGTATTATGGAAATTTAGAATAGGATTATAAACCCCCAAGTACCTTCACCCAGCTTTAGAAGTTACCAACATTTTGTCATATTTTAAAATTATGAAAGCAACATTACTAAAAGTTTGGAAATTAGAATGAAAATCCCCTTTGGTCTCATCCACAGAACTCGCCCTTATCACTGAATGCCTTCTCTTCCGGTCTTTCCTGGAGGTTCTAATAGATGTACCTTGTTTCCCTCTTCTTTTTGCTGAACATCTCGAGCCAAGAGCTAGTAACAGCAGCTACTGTCAGTTGATGTCCCCCTGTGCCAGGCACTGACCGACCTGCTTCTCACATAATCACAGAGTCTTCACACTAACAACACAGGACAGGTATGCCCCACCCCCACATACAGGTGAGGAACCTGAGCCTCGGACAGGTGAAGGAATGTGCTCGAGTTGTGTAGTCTGCGGATTCGAATGAAAGTTTAACTCCAAGGCCATGATCTTTCCTCACTATAAAGTGACCTCTTCAAAAGCATTTTTTCATGTTGCTACATAATTGCATTTTGAAGGAACAAGAACCGTCAGCATGTAAATTTGACCACAGAAGTAGCACTAGGATGAGAGTTGAGAGGATAAAAGGCATGAGCCCTGCCTCTGGCATCTGTACCCAGTGCCCAGGAACCCAGCCCCTGGTAGCCGTACAGAGAAGGCCTAGATGTGGTGGCATTGGCTATAAATGTTATAAAACTGCAGAGAAGGATGTAGATGAGGTTTATGCCTCATAAGTAGAGACTGCTGCTAACAGAGACAGGATTTCAGCTAAAATTAAAAAGACTGACAACCAAATGTTGGTGAGGATGTGGAGACCCAGAGCTTTCACACGTGGCTGATGGGAGGGTGTGACCGTGAAACCGCTCTGGAACGCAGCTTGACAATTTCTTATAAAAACATACTCATCTGTGAGGCAGCAACTCCAGTCCTCGATACTCACCTCCACGAAATGCAAGCTTAGGCCTAGTACAGGCGTGGACATCTGTACTGAAGGCTTGTGTGGAATAACCCTGTATTAGTTTTCTTTTGCTGAGTTACCAATTACACAAATCAACTGCAGCATTGATGAGCTCACTGTTCTGTAGATCAGAGATTCAGCATCACGGGGCTGGCTTCTCTGCTGAGGGTCTCACAGGTTGAAACGAAGGTGCAGCAGAGCGAGAACTGGGGGGAAAGTCCACTTTCAGCTCGTTCGTGGTGTTGGCAGAATTCAGTATCCTGCAGCTGCCGGGCGGAGGCCCCGTTTCCTTGCCGGGTGTTAGCTGGGAGCCACTCTTAGCTCCTAGGGGCTGCCTGCATTCCTGGTCATGTGGTCTCCTCCTTTTTATGTCACCAGCGGCATATCGAACCTTTCTTGTGCTTCAAATTTCTGACTTCTACTGCCAGCTGGAGAAAACTCACGACCAGGCCAGGCCCACCTCAGTAATCTCCCTATCGTAACGTCATCTGTGCCGGAGTAACCTAATTGTTGGGGTAAAAAATGCACCGTATTTATAGTCCTGGGGGTGATGCAGGGTGTGCACACCAGAGGGTGGGGTTCTTGTAGAACCATCTTAGAATTCTATTTACCACACCACCACCCCCAATTGGAAACAACGCAAATGTCCATCCGCAGGTGAAGGGATAAACAAACTGTGGTGTGTTCATACAGTGGGATACCCTTAGCATTAAAAAGGAACAGATTATTAATATGCACAATAACACACATGAACCTCAGAAACTTAAACATGAAGTTTAAGCCTAAAGAGTGCTTATTGTATAATTCCATTGATTTGAAATTCTAGAAGCAGCAAGATTAATCTGTGATGACAGGAAATTAGAGTGTAGCGTTTATTGGTGGGAATAAGGAAGTGGAGGTAGCCTGAGAATGGGCACAAGAGAACTTTTCAGGGGTGATGAAAGTGATCTGGATCTCGATAGGAGTGTGGATTACACGGGTGCTTTCATTGGTCAGCGCTCTTAAGCTCTGTTTATTGCACAGAACGTAGATTTCACCCCGATTTATTAAAAACTATAACATAGTGCTCTTGGGTCCTTATTATAAGAAATGAACTACAATCATATATAATATGATGATATATATCTATATATATATGCCATCAGAAAACATTAAAGCTAGAAATAGCTTTACAAATTGTGTAGTCTAATTCCCTTGTAAACACTACCGCCTTGGTGAAGAAAAAAACTTAAAATTCCTAATGATAGAATCTGCTGCAGCCCCCTTCTGCACTCAGAGGGGGAGTTGGACAGTTGTGCCTATTTGTGCTTGCCAGCAGAAAACATGACAGAGGGACAGGCTTGCTAACGGCAAAACATCTTGAAGTGTGAGCACGGAATCTGGATGGAGACATTTTACTTAGATGTGTTTGGCAGGAGACGTTTTCTTACTGCAATTGATTCCATCCGGGAATTCACAACATTTTGCTGTGGCCCACGATTTGTCTCAGAAACAAGTTGTAAAAACTCCACTGTAGTTAATAAAGGACACACATGGTGTTCATTCAGTGTCTGTGACCTCACCCTACTTCTGTAGAAAGCAGTGATTTTTAAGATAACCAAAGGTTTGATGACATGAGCAGCAAAAGGACCAAGTTAGGTAGATGGATTTCACAAAGCTGCCCTCTGCAGTTCTTGTACTATTCTTCTAAAAAGTTTTCTCTCATATCTACTGTGAGACTAATTTCCTAGGATGCATTAATTGCATATGGTTTCCTGGCTGATTACTGACTTTTAGATTTTAAGCACGTAATGAAAATATTTAGGTGGCTATTAAAAGCATTGTAGCTACCAATTAGTTTTGCTATCTTAAAAAGTCTGAATTGTGCTTTGGCTTGTGATAGATAAGGTGTTGCCACGTGCTAGCGTTTTAAATTTTTAAATTTAAACATTTTCTAATTGAATGTCTTCGTTCAGGTCCTCATGGAAGCTTATGTTCATTGATCACCTCTGAGATAATTTCAGGCTGTTAGTTGTTAGGGTAGCCCTTCGGTAACTTAAAGAGAATTAGTAAACACCCACTCCATCCTACCCAAGTTATTTATATGTTGAGTGGTTAATATAATTAGAGCGAACTAAGAGTTTTGGAATTAGGACCGTCAAACTCTTTGAGTTCTGACAAATTACAGTTTTTTTTGTACAGATAGTTCATGGGATAAATAATCCCTTCTGTGCAGTTGTATCTATAACAATTCTTGGTTTTTCTGTATTAAAGAATATAAGTTGGGTTTGCTTTACTTATGAATAATTCAGTTTATGTAAAATGAATTTATAAGATACAAACTCTTTGTCTTGATCTACAAGTATTAAAATAATTATCCTTTAAAGTATCTACACACAAAAAGACAAACACTGGTGGTTCCACTTATATGAGGTAGTTAAATTCATAGAAACAGAAAGTAGATAGTGGTTGCCAGGGTTGGGGGCGGAGCGGAAGTGGGAGTTGGTGTTTAATGGGTGTACAGTTTCAGTTTTGCAAGATGAAAAAGTTCGGGAGATCTGTTGCAAAACAGTGTGAATATGCTTATCACTGCAGAACTGTACACTTTAAAATGGTTAAGATGATAACTTGCATGCTATGTGTATTTTACCACAAATAAAAGTTAAAAAAAATTGTCAAAATATTTTCCTATGCTTTCTTTCCATTTTTGAGATGAGGAAAACCAAGGCAATAATCATAGCCAAGAAATGGAAGGTGGTGCTTCTCGGTAGCCTGCAGCTTCGCAGGCTTTCTTCTCATCTCAGGGTACAGCGTTCTTCCCACACAGCGTGGCTTTCTGCTGGGGAAACTCCTCACCCTCTCCTTTTCTCCATTTTGACTTCTCAACACATTCTGATACGTAAACAACTTCCCAAAGGTGCTTGCTTGGTAGATTTAAAATTTTTAACATGAAACAAACCATAACTGAAAATGAACTAGGCATGCAATATAATCTGCTGCTCTTTGTCTAGTGTTTCAGCCTGTTACTAGAAACAGTTAAAGAAAAAATAAGGAGCAGCCACTGTGTGTCAGGCACTGTGCTACTAGTTTCACATAGGTGTTTTGAGAGTTAATTGCCAGAAATAGAGCAAATTGACCAGACCTGAAGGAACTTTTGAGTATTACTTTTAAAGGTTGTTGTGGCTATGGGAGTGGTTTTCTGCCTGAAACGACTTCTAAGTTACTTCATGAGGACATATCCCTAATAAAAGTACATTTTGGTGTTACAAAGAGTGTTTACATGTGTTTTACTAATACAAAGAACTAATTTCCAGTATGTGGATACTATAATGTCTCCAAAGCATTCGTTATGCTGGAGTGATCAGATTTATATCATTGAGGGCAAAGCTCGAGAGAACCAGACCGTTCACATTTTCTTCTAACTGTCCTACTTCTCGTTACGGCTCATGGGGGAGTGTTCACGGCCAGTGTGCTGCACCCTCCTGCAAGGAGGAAGACCATGCATCACAATGTTTGTTGCTAGCAGTTATTTTTAGCAGCAGATCTAGAAATTCTTAGCGTTTTCATTTTAGGGTTATATTTCTTTTATTTATTATGATACTTCCAAGAAGAGTGAATAATTTTAGATTTGTGTATGTGAATACATGTTTGCATTGTGTGTGTGTGTGTGTGTGTGTGTGTGTGTGTGTGTTTGAGAGAGAGAGAGAGAGAGAGAGAGACATCGAGGAGAGGGTAGAGGCTTACTCAGTCTATTATCATAAAGCTCTGCTAATGTAGCTTCTGAGTCATGTGACTGCAGAAAAGGCTATTATCTCAATGAAAAGGAAACTCGTTTTTAGAGCAAGCAATAGAATAGAAGCAGGAAGAATTTTCGAGTGTTCCACCATGCTGGATTGTCAAAGGGGGATCTGTCTGATCAGCGGCTAAAAAAGGATTTGTGAGGCTAGTTTGTCAGCTATCGTTAGACACAGATGATAGAGGAGACGTGCGGCGGGGGGCTCAGCATGTGCTTAGGTTTACATCAAGGCGTAATGCTGGTTTGGGTTAATAGAGCAGATTTATCTCTGAGGCAATAAATTTATTGCTAATTGTGGGGTGGTTTTTTTTTCCTCTGGAAGAGTGATGTATGGTATTTTTATTTACATCACTGGTGAAGATAAAGACAAGCTGCTGCGCTCTGGTTTGAACTGCAGAGGCTGTGGACAATTACAAGGTGTGTTTCACAAGTGCTGTGACTTGATATTTGGTAATGTTCTTGGAATTCTGTGTGCTTGTGGATTGGATGTGCGTGTTGTCAGAGGGAGAACTGAGCATGACAACCAGGCAGTGCTAACGTTCTCAGGAACAAACAGATACAATGCGATCCAAATTGATTCCTCCTTGTGCTTATGTCTTTTGTGGGTTTTTTTAGTGATTAAAGATTTCTTGCAGTTTCTCTCTGTGGCCAAGTACAGTCTCCTGCTTGTTGTAGGAAATATTTTGGTAAGCATTTTCTAAAAAGTCAGAAGAAGGATCCAGTGCAAATCTTAGTCATTAAGGAATAAATAAATATAAGCTTTCTGTTTCTATCTCTATTTTATTTTTTCAATATCCTTTTGTAATTCTGCTTGAAAGGGAGCTTTGCAGTGAGTTTGAATTTATTTCATTTTTGGTTAGGTAATAAGTAAAGCTTTCTTATTTGGCTGAGACCTGGAATGAATGATTTTTTGACACACACACACACACACACACACACACACACACACACACACACACCCCGTACCTAACTTTTCTCTGGGTTATTATATTTTTATGCTACTATACTCAGAAAGCTAAAAACATTCAGTTAATCTTTAAACTCTGCTTGTCCACTTTTGCCCATGCTAATGCTATTAATTTGCTCAGCCTTTCTCTGTACCTTTTAACCTTGGAAGGTGTAGTACTTAAAAATCTGAGATTGGTGAAAGATAATCATAAACTTTATCTGAAAGGGGTTAACTATTATGCAGTATGTACCTGAGGAATAAATTCACTAATATATTTTTAATTTAACTTCTAGACCAGATATGCCCGATTTGGGGTGTGTGTATGTTTCCAAATCACATATTTTGAAATTAAACTATATTGTTTACATCTCCCTTTTGAAATTGAAATTGGAGCAGGTAGGGAATCTCTAAGGCTATCATGCACTGTATAGACAGTTTGCAAAGAATTCTTTTATCTTTTTCAATAAAAGATGGTGAGAGTAGCTCAAACATTAATTTTTAATTATACTAAGTCAGGAGAATTTCTTATAATATCTATAAACCATATCAGCACAATAGAGTTTTAAAAATCATTAATCTTATCATGGGATTTTCTTTAAAAAAAACCTCTGGCACCTTAGTTTAATCTAGCTACATAAAAAGACAAGTTGGTTCAAATAAACAGTTAATTAACTGTGGTTTTGACTGTTGGAATTTTCCTTTTAATTGTAGGACTTTCCCACATTCTTGTCAGTAGGCTGTAAGATAGGGTTACACACTGGTTTCAGCCCCAAAGTCGCTAGCATCGGATGTTAAAATTTTTGAATAATAAAAATTTTATGGCCAGCTTATTTGAGCTTTTTTGACTTCCTTTGTTCTTGCTTTTAAATTTTATTTGGTTGCCTTTTCTAAAGCCTTTGAAGTGAGCCAAGGATTTTGGAATAATTCAAGGTGTTTTTATTGAGCACCTACTATTATTACAAGATACTCTATGAAACAGTAAGAGAAAGCAAGGGCAAATAAGATATTGAAACCAACACAATAACTTAAAACTGTCATTGGAACCCAGCCTCAGTAAATGTAATTATCCTGTACAGCAGGTCCTCAAATAACATCATTTTGTTCAATGTTGCTTCGCTATAACATTGATGGGGTGGGCAGGGGGATGATTCCAGCAGGGCCACTGTGTGGGGCTTGCATGTTCTCCCTGTGTCTGTGGGTATTCTCCGGGTTCCTTCCACATCCCAAAGATGTGCACAGGAGCTGATGGCATGTCTCCATTCTCCCTGTCTGAGTGGGTGTGGGTGTGAGTGGCCCTGCGAGGGAAGGGCATGCTGTCCAGGTGGGTCACGGCTCGTGCCACCTGTGACCCTGAGCTGGAATAAGTGGGTAGAAAATAATGATCTTACTTGTTTTTATGAATCGTCCTTAAACATGTATAGCTCACATGTATTTCAGTGTTTAATATTAAAGGTGTTTGGGGTCTTCAGAAGTTTGGTGATGTTTTTGTGACACAGCTATGCCATAGGAACTTAATTCTTGTTTATACCAGTCTACGAAATCTTGGTTTCATTATATGTCGTTTCACTTGAAGTTGAAGTTTCCAAGAACCATCGAGGACGTTAGCGAGAACTTACTGTATCTTATCAGGATTTTAAATCATTAAAAGGAATTTTGGGTAAAACTTATTTGGCCAATCAGAGAATACATGCCTGATGACTCTGTGAGTGACTTTTCACGTGAGCAAGTTTGAATGGTACTTTTAACTGGTATCCATCTATGCTGGTTCCTGTTTCCATTGTATCATCACAGAAATAAGTTCATTTTATTTACAGTCTTCCTAAAACTAGAATAGTTCTTGTTTCTGATCGTATTGTTTTTCTCCTAGGACATCAGATATCAGCCCTTTACATTTGAAAATACTTGTATGTTGTGTTATCTAAAAATATCTTTCCTTTTGGAGGTTGGGGAGTGAGGAAGAACCCCAGTCTGATTATTAGAATTAAAAGACACAAGCTTTGACGTCAGGGGAGTGTCTAAACAAGCCAGATGACTAGCTTGCAAATCCCGCTGCACCTCAGAATTCCAACCACAATGATTAACCGCAAATATTATAACCAGGTCTGATCTTGTCAGGCTGAGGGGGTTTGCTTCTCTGAACGATTTTTGTAATTTGTAAAAAAGATATGGTAAGAAGAGATGGAATTCAGGGTGATCTTAGTATGTGGCGTTGTAAAACTTAATGAAATATGTGCATAGGAATTTTTCTGTTTGTGAAAGTAAATGTTTGGGAAGATTCAGATAGGATTAAGGTACTGGGCTATATTTTAGACACACTTTAATTCTTTGGAAGCCAGGAGGATATAAAATTCATGAAGTGAAAAAGTCTGTGCAACAGCCAGCAAATCGTTCCCGGGTACCCCCTACAAGGCTTCCTCTAAAAATTATCACTCAGAAATGCCGGGGAAAGTTTAGAATTGATTGGCTTACCCATATCTCTCAAGTGTTGTAGTCTTTAGCATTAAAGAGGTAAGATTTGACATTTCTGGTGTGTATGGGAGTTGTTGCAATGACTCTTTTCACCAAGCTCCTAGTTAACATGCACAGTTATAGCTTGTGATGTAATAATCACTAATATAGTATAACATAGGCTTACATCGGCTTTAACTTTAAAGGTGATTTAATTATTACTATTTTCTTAAAGATTTTGTGAGAAACACCAAATACTATAATCTTGATTCAAATGAATTGTTTCTCCTTAAAAACCAGTCAAGTTGAGTAGCGTACAGGCACACCTCAGAGATACTGCGAGTTTTGTTCTAGCCCACCGCAGTAAAGCGAATATCGCAATAAAGGCCACACATTTTTTGGTTTCCCAGTGCACATAAAAGTTATGTTTACACTCTAGTCTGTTAAGTGTGCAACAGCATTATGCATAACAAATGTACATACCTTAATTAAAAAGTACTTTCTGGCTTAAAAATGCCAGCTCTCACCTGAGCCTTCAGCGAGTCATAATCTTTCTGCTGGTGGAGGGTCCTGCCTTGTTGATGTTGATGGCAGCTGATTGATCCCAGTGGTGGTTGCAAACGGCTGGGATGACTGTGGAAATTTCGTAAAATAAGACCACAATGAAGTCTGCCGCAGTTTACTTTTTCTTTCACACACAATTTCTCTGTAGCATGTGATGCTGGTTGATAGCATTTCACCCACAGTAGGACTTTCAAAATTGGATTCAAGCCTCTCAGACCCTGCCACTGCTTTGTCAACAAAGTTTATGTAATATTCTAAGTTCTTTGTTATCATTTCAACAGTCTTCACAGCATCTTCACTAGGAGTAGTTTCCATCTCAAGAAACCACTTTCTTTGCTCATCTGTAAGAAGCAACACCTCATCTGTTAAGTTTTATCATGAAATTGCAACCATTCAGTCACATGTTCAGGCTCCACTTATAGTCCTAGTTCTCTTGCTGTTTCCACCACATCTGCAGTGACTTCCTCCACTGAAGTCTTACCCCCTCAAAGTCATCCATGAGGATTGGAATCAGCTTCTTCTAAACTCCTGTTAATGTTGAGATTTTGACCTCTCATGAATCACGAATGTTCTTAATGGCATCTACAATGGAGATTCCTTTCCAGAAAGTTTTCAATTTACTTTGCCCCAGATCCATCAGAGGAATCACTGTCTATGGCAGCCGTAGCCTTACAAAATGTATTTCTTAAATAAAAAGATTTGAAAGTCAAAATTACTCCTTGATCCATGGGCTGCAAAATAGATGTTGTGTTAGCAGGCATGAAAATACCGTTAATCTCATTGGCCATCTCCATCAGAGCTCTTGGGGGACCAGGTGCATTGTCACTGAGCAGTAAGGAATTGAAAGGCATCTTTTTTTTTTCTGAGCAGCAGGTCCCAACAGTAGGGTTAAATATTCAGTAAACCATGATGTAAACAGATGTGTTTTCATCCAGGGTTTGTTGCTCCATATATCGAGCACAGGCAGAGGAGAGTTAGCATAATTCTTAAGGGCCCTAGGATTTTCAGAATGGTCAATGAGCATTGGCTTCAACTTAAGGCATCAGCTGCCTGAGCCCCTAACAAGAGAGCCAGCCTGTCCTCTGAAGCTTTGAAGCCAGGCGCTGACTTCTCCCTAGCTGTGCAAGTCCGAGAAGGCATCTTCTTCCAGTAGAAAGCTGTTTCATCTACCTTGAAAATCTGTTGTTTTGTGTAGACACCTTCTTCATGAATTACATTAGCTAGATCTTCTGGATAACTTGCTGTGGCTTCTCCATCAGCACTTGTTGCTTCAACCTGCACTTTTATGTTATGGAGAGGGCTTCTATCCTTAAACCCCATGAACCCACCTTGGCTGGCTTCAAACTTCTGCCTCTTTCTCACCTTTCTCAGCCTTTATATTATAGAACTGAAGAGAGTTAGAGCCTTGCTCTGGATGAGGTTTTTACTTAAGGGAATGTTGTGGCTGGTTTGATCT